TCACGCACACACACACGCACACACAGACACACACACACACACACACACACACACACTCTCACACACTCACACACACACACACACACACACACTGCCATACTCTAACGCTCTCATCTGCTTCTTCAGAGATCATCCAGCTGGAATCGTCTGTGGCAGGAATCACACTCACAGGAATCACTCTGGCCACCATATTAATCTTCACCATTTTCATCAAGTGCAAGAGAATCAAAAGGTGAGTGTGACACTGCTGATGCCTGATGCACCTGGGAGGAGTCTTCAGTGAGTTCACAACACAAACAACTACAATATAACTGTAACAATAATGATAATTATAACGATGACTATAGCGATAGCTATTACTATAGCAATACCAGTAATAACAATAATAATAACTATAATTACAACACAATAAAACTACAATAACAAAAATAACTACAGTGAAATGATAACAATAACTACAACTAGAATAACTATAACTGACTATAAAAATAACTTTACACTAACAATAGCAACAATAACTAACTATAATAATAACTATAATGCAACAATATATAAAAGAGCTGACTTACAATTATCCCACATGACCTCTTAAGCAGAAAATGATTGTAAATTATTTCAGTGAGGACAAAGAAAGTGTCAGGTTATATGAGAGACATTACATCTGTTAGGATCTGTTATAAACACAGAGTGACAGTATTGGGCCACAGGAATGTGGCTTCTTCACCTTTCAGGGTCCAGAAGAACGGTTCCACGTATATTCCTGATCCCTCCAAATTCTTCGGTGATCTGAACTCGAGCCACGGAGGGAATTTCACGGTGAGTCCCGCGCCTCAGATTAAAGCAATAAGCCCCAAGAAGCCGTGGTTTACAGTGAATTTATAACAGCTAAGAGGCGTTGTTAGGTACTGTTTCCTGTTAACAGAGCAAATAAAGTGTAATGATATTAATAAAAACAGTATTCTTCCACCAAACAATGTAGCTCCTCAGAAACAGTTGTGGTTGCTACAAAGTGGTTGCCGAGCAACACACAAACGTAAACAAAGGTGTATGTTACTTTGTAGCGTCATTTACAACAGCTTCGAACGCAGCTCAGCCAATCAGAATCAAGCACCGGAACTCTCCGCTTTATAAAATCAGACACGCATTGGTTTTCGTTCAGTTCTGTTTGATAACCCACGTTCTCTCCATCAGTCTTGGCTGGGGTCGGTTTTAGTGCACGAGAGCTTCATCAGAGTGGACACCGAGTTCATCAGTCCGGTCGAGGTCCTGAAGCTGCAGGACTCCTGCGAATCCCGCGGCTCACACAGAAATAGCGGCGGCCCGCAGGACGGATGGGATGACACCGCCAAATCCTCCAACTTCTCCAACTCCACCTACTTCATGTCCCAGAGCTCCAAGGGGCCAAGCGACGCTCTGGAGCCCTGTTCGGCGCACTCTTCCTACGGGCCAGCGGGGGGTGCCACTGACGTCGCGCGCGCCGCTGGAGAGAAGCACACTGAGGAGCTGGAGTTCTCTCTGGAGAAGCTGAGGCAGGACACACAGAGTCCGGATTCGGGTTTCGCCGGCGGAAGCGAGGACAGCATGGAGGAGATGGAGCTGCCCAGTCCTGTGGGCTTAAACCTGGCTCCGCACCTGCCCCAGGACCTGCCGGCGCCGCAGCCCAGCAGACACCCGCTCATGTGCCTCCCGCGCACGGATCTGCTGCTGCGACCGAGCTGCTCATTCCCTGCATTAGACCTGGACCTCCTCAACCTGGACCTGCAGAGCTCCTGCGGGCTGATCGAGCCCTCGAGTGGAGATTACATGCCAGTGAAAAACCTGCAGAGTTAAAGGGTTAGTTCACCCAAAAATTTGAATTCTGTCATTAATTACCTGTAAGATCTTCGGAACACAAATGAAGATATTTCTGATGAAATCCGAGAGCTCTCTGACCCTGCATAGACAGCAACGCAACTGAAATGTTCCTAGGTCCAGAAACGTAATCCATGGAACATCAGGGGTTCAAGCGTAATTTCACGAAGCTACGAGAATACTTTATGTGCGCAAAGAAAACAAAAACAACAAGTTTATTATGTTAACGTAAGCCGTAGCGCCATGCGCATGCACTGTTTACATGAAGTGGAAGCAAGCACATGCATCGTGATACTCTCCACAATGGAGAATATTATAATAAGTACTTCTTTTTGTTTTCTTTGCGCACAAAAAGTATTCTCGTAGCTTCGTGAAATTACGCTTGAACCCCTGATGTTCCATGGATTACGTTTCTGGACCTAGGAACATTTCAGTTGTGTTGCTGTCTACGGAGGGTCAGAGAGCTCTCGGATTTCATCAGAAATATCTTCATTTGTGTTCCGAAGATGAACGAAGGTCTTAAGGGTTTGGAACGACATGAGGGCGAGTAATTAACGACAGAATTTTCATTTTTGGGTGAACTATCCCTTTAAGGTCATTGCACACCGAGTCTGAAATTCTTGTACGAAACTTTTGCACGTTAAAAAATAAATACGACCTCACGTTGTTGTCAATGACGTTTACACGCTGCCTCCAAAACTTTCGTCCGTTATTAAAAAATTCGGATCGGGTTCGATTTTCTGCATTTTTCGCAATTTGAAAAAGAAAAGAAATTGGTGGTCTTCTTTTTAATATGTGGCTCTAGTATCGCTAGTAATCGCACTGACATCCTAAATGATAATCCCGCTTCCTCTCTATATCTCAGGATTGGATGGACCCAATATTTCCTCTTTTTTCTCTCTCTCTTTTGAAGAAGCGAGAGGACAACAAAACCATCCTCACTGCATGAAGACTCCATTTTTACGCTTGAACCCCTGATGTTCCATGGATTACGTTTCTGGACCTAGGAACATTTCAGTTGTGTTGCTGTCTACGGAGGGTCAGAGAGCTCTCGGATTTCATCAGAAATATCTTCATTTGTGTTCCGAAGATGAACGAAGGTCTTAAGGGTTTGGAACGACATGAGGGCGAGTAATTAACGACAGAATTTTCATTTTTGGGTGAACTATCCCTTTAAGGTCATTGCACACCGAGTCTGAAATTCTTGTACGAAACTTTTGCACGTTAAAAAATAAATACGACCTCACGTTGTTGTCAATGACGTTTACACGCTGCCTCCAAAACTTTCGTCCGTTATTAAAAAATTCGGATCGGGTTCGATTTTCTGCATTTTTCGCAATTTGAAAAAGAAAAGAAATTGGTGGTCTTCTTTTTAATATGTGGCTCTAGTATCGCTAGTAATCGCACTGACATCCTAAATGATAATCCCGCTTCCTCTCTATATCTCAGGATTGGATGGACCCAATATTTCCTCTTTTTTCTCTCTCTCTTTTGAAGAAGCGAGAGGACAACAAAACCATCCTCACTGCATGAAGACCCTAACCCTATTTTTTCGAAACGGATTAATTAATACGCATCAGACTCAGTGTGCAAGGTTTCTGTGCGTGATGAATTTTTAGGATGAGGAATACGTAAAAACGAGAAACGAAAATTTCTCTCAGCGTGCAGGAGCTTTAGTGTCACTCATATAACATTATGAGAGAGAAACGCGCTTCGGGTTACACAGAAATGGACGAGCTCAATCTTTAAAAACTTTAAAAGACTAGGAATATAAATTCATATGGACAACTGTTATGATCCTGGCATGCTGTTTCTTTGTTTCGTTTTGCACTTTCGTTGCATGGAAAAGAGCGGCGTGAACATTGTTCTAAACATCTCCGTTTGTGTTCCACAGAAAAAAGAAAGTTATTCAGTTTTTTCTTCAAGAAAACTAAACTTTTTAAAGGTAGATTGGACTAATTTGAATCCGAAACCACTTAGTTAACTGCTAAGTGGTCAAATTAGTTCTTAAGACACAGTTTTAACATAGTGGCTATGCCAGGTTTGGAACGAGACGGTGCATAAATGATGAGAGAAGTTTTGCCTGTTTATTACTCAGCATAAAGTCTTGATGTTTACTACGGATTTCTCTGGTTGCTGCATGACTGATGAGTTAGTGAAGGCGGTTCTGTGCTGATTTATGTGCAGGACAATGTGAGAGTCACTCCTGATCTCAGCTGGTTTGTGTGACGCAGAACGAGCGCAGGATCTGCGGACGAAACCAGGTGAAACACAAAGGACTGTTTCCTATTTCTTTTCACTAAAATTCTACCGTTCAGTTTACGTGGTGCGACGAAGGAAATCTAGCTGTTTAGAAAATTAGTCGTTTCAGATGAGACGATTTATAATATTCTACGCCCTGAATGTTTTCATACTATATCATTTCTGTTTATAAGATGTATGGCAGCAGGGACATTAAGGCTAACGTGAGACAGAAACACACAAGCTGAAGTGAAACGTTCTTTTGAGTGGCTCGCACTTATCACGGTTATTGTTATGTGGTTTGTTTATTGTATGCCATTTCATCTTGGATTTTTGCATTCAGATGTATGTTAAAATGATGATGCCTGCTGCTTTGATGAATGTAAGAGAAGCCAGTAGTTCTCAGCGATCGCATTTTGCTGCTAAATAATATATTAAAGCATATTTGTGCTCTGTTTGTGATTAGCTGATTGACTTCAGATATAGCTGTTTAGTATGGGTCAGTTAGATCGAGTAATGCTGTTCTAAAAGCTTGTTTTTTTGATGGGCGTTCAACAGCATTGTTTCTGAGGTGAATGAGAATGACAACAGATAGATTTCTCCTGTCTGAGGTATTGTAGACCTACGAGTGTTGTTGTTTCACTGCTGTGTGTCAGGTACTATATGGGGAATGGCAAGAAATGTGTTTAATAAAAAAATAAAAAGGTCTTTGTTGCAAAACAGAAATAGAGATTGCAGCAACCAAAATAAAAATGGTGAAAAATCACTTTGGGGGACGGGATCGTGACAATATTGTTGCACTTCAGTGATGAATGTTGAATGCATTTTTTGTTTAAAATAGTTTTGAAATGAAAATGTTGCAGTTCTTGTATGGATTTCTTTCATTGTCAGATAAAAGGTGAGCTGTCTGCATGGGTTTCCTGTCTGTCACAACTTTACATCATTCCTATTAGGTCTGTTTGAGGTGCTGTTGTGTGCTTGGAGAAACTTTGGCAATTTCTGAATCTTCTCTGTTTGGATGCCTGTGGTTCAGTGGATCCTCAGAAATGTTTGTAATGCTCTGATGCATCAGTGTTTTTCTCAGCTGTTCTGGGATTTTATTATATCATAGACTGGTTGAAGAAACATTCCTATAAAATGTCTTCTCACAAGGTGACTATACATGAATGATTTCAGAAGTATTGAGTTTGAAATAAAATTGTAGTCAAACATGTTTCTTGGAACTGTTTTATCCAAATGGTTATATCCATACTACATGGTTTAGGAACGTGCTGATTTGGAGTAATGGAAATACACCAATAATATGAGGTGATTAATCATAAGTGTAAAATAACAATGAACAGCGGATGCATTTTTAATATAAACATAAACAACACTTTTATTGTTTTATTTAATCATGGGAATGCCTTTCTTGGTCTGTCCCCAGTCCAGTTTCTTTGCTGTATTGGAAAATGTGGAAAAAATGCATGAATTTAAGTGGCAAAATGTAACACCTGAACACATAATTTTACTCCCGTCCAAGAATATACGCAAATCATCAGACCGGAAAAGGCCATGTGTTGATCGTGTCCCAGAGGAGCATCATCCGCGCACAGGTGAGACCCGACGGAGTGACGTCACGGGCGTCACGCAGGTGAGCGCGCGTCGCTGGGCGTTGACTTGTTGTGTAGAGACCCGTTATTCAGGATCTTCATCTCTTCTCTGGTACTTTCTGGGTGAGGAAAGAGTCACACATGCGTTCAGCACGATTTAGTGTCAAACTAAAACTGAGTTCAAAGATGCCACACTTAAGAACAATGACTTTACTATATGGCTCCGCGTTATCGTCCGGGCAGAACTATTGTTCCAGCCACCAAAGACAGATTCACAAATAACCTGCCTGATTTATCTCAACTGCTCTGTGTACCAATAAGTACACATGAACTAGACGAAATAACTAGCAACATGGGCACTATCTTCTCTAATACATTAGAAGCTGTTGCCCCCATCAAATTGAAAAAGGTTAGAGAAAAACGTACTGCGCCATGGTACAACAGTAATACCCATTCTCTCAAGAAAAAAACTCGTAGTCTTGAGCGCAAATGGAGAAAAACTAACTTGGAAGTTTTTAGAATTGCGTGGAAAAACAGTATGTCCAGCTATAGACAGGCTCTAAAAGCTGCCAGGGCCGAGCATATCCACAAACTCATAGAAAATAACCAAAACAATCCAAGGTTTGTATTTAGCACAGTGACTAGATTAACAAATAACCAGACGCCACCCGATCTAAATATTCCCGCACAGTTTAATAGTAATGACTTTATGAATTTCTTCACTGATAAAATAGATAACATCAGAAATACAATAACAAATGTAGATTCTACAGCGTATAATACTTCAGCTTCATTCATCGCACCAAAAGATAAACTGCAGTGCTTTACAACTATAGGACAGGAAGAGCTAAATAAACTTATCACTGCATCTAAACCAACAACATGCCTGTTAGATCCTGTACCCACTAAATTACTGAAAGAGTTGTTACCTGTAGCACAAGAACCGCTTCTCAATATTATTAACTCGTCGTTATCTTTACGTCACGTCCCAAAACCATTCAAGCTGGCGGTTATTAAGCCTCTTATTAAAAAACCACAATCCGCAGATCCTAGTGAACTGACAAATTACAGACCCATCTCAAATCTTCCTTTTATGTCTAAAATTTTAGAAAAAGTTGTGTCTGCTCAATTGTGCTCCTTCCTGCAAAAAAATGAT